CTCTTTCCCAATTAGCCTGCACACCCTTCTCACTGTACAGCAGAGATAGCTCATCCCATCTGAAACTGATGGGACAGTTGAAAAGGACTTTACCTGAGCTGACCTTGTCGATCCAGAAAATCCTGCTTAGGTAAAACCACACCTGGGCTGGAGTGGACCACAACCGGCAGGCGATACTCCAGGTAAGCTGTCTTCAACCACCAGTCTGAGAGCTGGGATGGAGAAAGGCAACATGCAGGCATGGTGTCTGCTGCTGTTTGACCCAAGCCCGGCTGAATGGTCTTAGCACTGGGCCCCCAGGTCTGTCCCACACTTTGCAAACAAACTGTTTGGGTTTTACGCTTTGCGTGTGGGAAGGCAGAGGGGGATTTGAGCAAGGCAGCGGGGGCTCTTGGTGCTCGAGCAGAGGGTTTCCTTCATCTTCTTGGGGCAGCTGTGTGATGCTAACAGGTTAGAGGCTTCAGCAGCCACGGACAGGGTCAGCGACTCCCTGTTCTGCTGTAGATCTCTCTGCTCACCCGAGTCCTGGTGAGAAGTTTGCACAGCTCAGGGAGGTTGGCAGTAGACTGAAGATGATGCCATAAAAACACAGGTGCCAGTGGTTGCAGCCAGGACATGGGAGAGGTGTGCATCAGACCACCACCCTCCCTAACCAGAGCCTGGGGCCAGAGACCCGACCTACCCAGTTCTCCGTTTTCTTGGCTCTTCTCTCCAGGCCTTTCTGCAGCCTCTCCCCGACGCCTCCAGGCTTGCGGAACTCAGCCACCAGCTCCTGCGTGTGGTTCAGCTCCTCCTCGCTGATGATGGGCTGCAGAGTCAGCAGGTAGCGGTCCAGCGTTTGCTGGAGCGGCGGCACGGGGAGATGGGGCAACGCTTCCTGATGAAGTTGGAATCTGCCTGGGATCTTGCCTAAAGCTGTCGGCTTCAGCAGGCCGTAGGGCCTGGCCTGCAAAGCACAAAGCAAATGTCGAGACAAAACTTCCCCCCGATGTGCACGAGGTAGCAAATAACCTGGATCTGGCGGTCTCCATCCCAGCCTCTCTGAGGGCACACACAGGTGCCTCAGCATGCGAGCAGAGCGCACAAAGCGCAAATGCAAGACGCAGGTCTACTGACTGCACGCTAGAGACGTTTGTAGGCCACCCAGAAAAGCTGCAAAAAAGAAACTTGATCTCCCAAGATACCGACTCTGAGCTCATCAGAGGAAATGCTGCCAGGATAATGATAGATCTCCCGCTCTGGGCACCTTCCAGCTGAGAGTCTCCATGTGTTCAACAAAGTCAAATCCTTCCATCCCACAGTAAGCAGGAGGAAAGTATCTTGTGAAAGAAATATGAATCTTACATACTGTCAGAAACTGTCTCTTCTTATAATAGTGTAAGGCTAGAAAGTTAAGCATAACCCTTGTGCCAGATCGAACTACCCTTTGGACGTTGAGGAGGCAGAATTTAGATAAGCAGGATTAAAACGCCTCTTCTCTGACTGGTCAGGGGTGGTACATGGCCAGCGATGGTCAGGGACGGACTGGCTATGATGTGCAGGCCCTGGGGCAACATCCTTTATGCTGGTGAACCTTCCAGTTACTGAAGCACCCAGCTATATTAAGAGAACCTCTATCTAGATGTACCAGTATGGGACTGGCCAAATTACAGGAGCCTTTGGAGAGGGAAAAGCTAGAGCTGCTCAGGAAACTGTAGGTGATGCCAGCAGGCTCCTGGGATCCGACAGGGCCATGTGGGAATAAAAGCCTTAGAAAGCACTGTACCATTTCCCCAGAGAGAGAAATGAAACAGAGCAAACCCAGTTGTTGACCAAGAAACGAACATGCCAGTTTCCCCCAAAAGAATAACTTCCTCCTCTTGGATGAACAGATTCTTCAGCTTGAAAATGTTTAAATAGTACTCTAAAGGTTTTCAGTTCCCTCTGTTGGATCTACTGAATCAGACACTCTCCTCCAGGACTCTGGACTTTGCATCCTCAGAACGCCAGTGAGAACATGCCCTTTGATTTCCAAGTCAATGAAAAAACAGCTATCCCCCCACCTCCTCCCAGGAGTTAAGCACAGAGAAGAAGAAAGAAAGGGCTAAATCTGCAGGGTGACAAAGCCTCTGCGCGGTGCTGAGCCCACAGAGAAAACGCTCTATGCTCTTCATAGGACCTGGCAAGAACTATGGGATCAAGGTCTGGAGAAGAAATGTTAAAAACAAGAGAAGGGAGAATTACTGAAGCACGAAAAAAGAGTGGGGCTGGGAAGAAATGAAGGGTGTTAATCATGGCAGCGTGGGCATACTGTACCTTCTCTGCTTGCTTCTGCTTCCTATCCATGGCTGGGAGGACAGAAAAGATGGTAAACCTCTCCCTCGGCCTGTCTCGGTTTCCTCTTCCACCTGACAATGTGCTGCCCGGGCAGGGCGTCACCTCGTTAGCAAACTGCCACATGACTGCTCCGATCAGAGGGCTCAAGGCCAGGCACAGGGGTCAGACCATCGGGTTGCGTCAGCGGCCGTGAAGGCGCCTTTCTGGGAAGCCCTCCCGTGGCCGCTTGCCGTCGGCCCTGCACTGCCTGCTCAGTGCTTGCTGATCAACACCAGGTGGGCAGAGTCTCTCCGATCGATAGCTCTGGGCCTCCGGCCATGGCAGAAGTGAAGGTCCTGGGGACATTGTTCCCTTGGCCTTTGCCTGGACCATGAAACTACAGTGGCCATTGGGAGAGAAGCCTGAACATCTCTGGGCAGGAGAGACCCCAGTTTATGTCCTGGAGGCAGGTGACGCTGTGAGCTGGCACCAGATGGGACAAGCTGCAGGGAGGACTTAGCAGGCGATGGGGAACTGAGTCCCTTTGCTCAGGCAAAGGTGGCCAGAGGGTGTCGGATGGGGACAGCTCTCCAGCAGGAACTGGACAGGGATCCAGCATCACTGCGGGTGATGGCAGGATTAGTTGGAGATGGGAGCAAATTCAGTTTGGGCCTAAAGGCGGCATCTTAACTGCCTTCACGGCCCACGCATGTGCGGTCATTATTGCAAGCTGAGATTCTGGGGAGCTCTGGGTTGTCAGCCCTTAAAAAAACTATAGAATAGGTATCTCCACAGCAGGGCAACAACAGGACTGTGCAGTCACAAGGAATATCACCCATTCCTTCGCGTCTGTCTAATCGACTGGGGGCAGACAAGCACAGTCTTCTACACAGCTAAGAGAAAGTCTGATGATTCTAAATAATTTCAGATTCTCCCTGGGGTTACAGGGAAAATCCCCAAACAAATTAACTGAAAACACCGCACGTTAAAACATGGAGTGGATTTGTATCTTTCCACTTTCATGTCCTCTGCTTGTTTGGTTTGAGGTCAAACTCCAGCATTTGGTGGGAGGAGGAATGGCGATCGCAGCTGAGCAGAGGAGGCAGCTGGCAGCAAGTAGAGCACACAGACCCCTTGTCCCCATGAGCCGCAGGGAAAGCGAACACCAGCAGAGCGCGGGGCGTGCAGACATGGCCAGCTCGCGGGCTGGCGTTGCTCCCGAGCCACGTTCCAACGCAGTGGATGACCTTTTCCAAAGCCTGCCAAGCTGGTGGGAAACCCACCTGCCTGCTGGGGCAGGAGGAGCCTCAGAGCAAGTGTCTGATTCCCAGCACGGCCACCACATTGAGTGTCAGATGACAGAGGTTTGTCTCTTTCTTTGATTTTTGAACTCGAAGCTGGAGACCCCCCTCGAGCCCGGAGACAACCGGCCCTGCCCGGCCCCTCAGAAGGTGTCTCGGGGAGGGAAGCCATCGCGCAGCTGCCGTCACCCAGCTCTGCCTCCTGCTCCCGGGGATCCATCAGTGCTCACGACAAACGGCTGCTACGATGGGGCTGGGAGCTCTGCCCAAAGCTCCGGGAAAGCCGAAGCCCGCAGCACCCGGAGCTTCCCGGGCTCCCCTCGTCCCTGACCAGCTGCGACCACCACCTG